CACAGACCGCTTCGCACGCAGGCGGTATAGCAGGTCATGATGGTCGAAGCGCAGCTTCAACCCATCCTTGCGGAGCCACGCAGTGCTCTGGTCTTCATTGAACAAGCTTAAACCCACAGGCGCGCATGTACCCTAGGCTTATCAGGTTCACGTGGGCATTAGGAGAGTAGTGGACATTGTCCAGACGGCGAGGCTCCCACTTGCCCGTGACTCCGTTTTTGACACGTAACACCACACTTCCGCTTGCTTGCATGACTTCTGACAGACCGCAGGCCATCATCACGTTACTGGAAGTTCCATGCTCCACATGCGAAAAACAAGTCAAATCTCCGCACAGATTAACTTGCGATCCACTATCGAGAAGCCATTCAATTTCATCTGCCTGCAAGACAGGGACATGCTCGTCGTCTCCAATTACTGCATTCACTGCGTAATCAGGTGACGCTGGTGTTGTAGGAGAGTACGTAGGGCTGCGAACAACGGGGCTTGACGGAGGACTCGTGGGTGAGTACTGTGGCGACGCAGCACGCACAGTAACCCCACCAGCTCCAGTGTTTCGGCGATGGAGCTGCTGTTCCGATTGCTCCACTGCTTGTAACCCAAGTACCGAACGCACGTCGTTCAGTAAAATCAATCGATCAGCATTCCTAATTCCACCAACTGCGTGCTCTGCATGTTCATCACGAGACGTCATGCACTCTACCACCCTGTCACGCGAGACAGGCGGTTCATGTTGCCGAAGAATAGCTCTACTCAGAGAGCGCACTTGTTCGTCACCTTGATTGGTTTGGTTTTGACGACGTCCTTGGCTGCACTCAGCATCACCGCGCCAGTGGTTTTTCTCACCACAAGCATTGCACTTCGAGTTCTTTTTCCTTTTCGCAATCCATTCTGCATTAGACTTGCCAGTGTTTGTAGATGCAGCACTTGAGCCACGGTTGAAACCATATTTGCCGCCGCGCTGGCGGCGAGGACCTTTTTCACTATTGCCGTGCTTTTGCACAGCATTTGCTTGGGGTTTACTGGCCAGGCCACGGCTGTTCACAGCGCTGCTGCTTGATTCACGCACTCACTGGTTGCGTTGCATTTCTTCATTCTCCAGACGGCTACGTGCGTCGCGCAACGTATATTTGTAGTCTGAATCACGGCGTAGCTTCTCCGTAACTTCATCTGCAATCGTTGGGTAGACTGCGTGAGCCTTGGTCAGCATAATCTTAGCGAGTCGCGAGTCTGAGATGGGTCATTATTTTCCGCTAGCTCGCGCTGTATCTTCAGTAGGTCGGCGATGTAGTCTCGCACGGGCTCGTCTGGGCGAAGCATTCGCCCGTAGATTCGTTCCCAAATCAGCACCGTGTTTACTACCACGTGGAGCGGATTCGCCAGGAGCGACGGCGGCACGATAAGCGACAGCTCCTCGTGAAGTGGAAGGGTTATGCCCACTCCGAGAACTCGTAGAAGCCGGTCGAACGGCTCCTAATATACTGTCCGAAGGCTGCCACAGTCTGGTAACAGAAGCGGCGGAAGCTTTGAAAGTAGTCTGGGGCTACTTGCCCGAACGGGTCCGGACATTGACGACACTCCGTATGCGCGCTTCAGAAGGTACCTTGTCAGCATGTGCTTGCTGACTATGTGGGCGATCCGGACACGAAGATCACGCTGGTTCAGGATGCGGGCCAGCAGCTGATCTTCATGGAGCTCCCGTAACTACGAGGGTGAGTACTTGATAGACTCCACCCACGCCCAGACCATGTCCCTGCACGAGTTCCAGATGGGACAGTTCTTGGGAAGAACCCAGAGGGGGGGGGGCAGAGAGGGTAGAGAGCACACCTGTTCTCGGGCTTCTTACGAGAAGTCGTGAAGTCCTTAAGAGGGATCCGGTGCGGCGCGAGAAGCACGCACCGGTCCGCCTCCAAGTTGTCGGCGAACAGCTGCTTCTTCTGGACCAGGGCACGTTCGTAAGCGCCCTGAGAAGTGTGACCACCAACAAGCCCGCGAGGAGCGACGAGGATCTCCAGAAAGAGGTCAGCCCCATAGATTTCCTCGGGAAGCCAATAACCTCTTGAGTTGATGGCAGCTCCCTGGTTGACGGGTGTCACCACCGAACCCCCACGCATGCGCTGAGCAGCATAAAAGTCCTCTTTCTGCTGGTCATGGTCGTTCGTGATATCCCGGGACTCACGGATGGCACCCTTCCCTTCCTCTTCGTACAGAAGGATTCGGTTTCTTTCTCCTCGCGGAGTAGATACTTCGAAACCATGCGCTTCTTAGAGGACTTGGCGCCTTCGGATTTGGCGGCCTTAGCACGCGCAAGTCCCTCGGCGAGCGACAGGGCTCTCAGAGCGAACAGACGTCCTGGGACTGTGACCACCGTGATCACTAGCGGGCGAGTGCACGCTATCGTCGTCGTGCTCGCTGAACACTGGTGTGTGCCCTCCCACGGAGCTCACAGGAGCATCGTGAGTGTTCCCGGACTCAACCTCGTCCTCACTGCCCGAATCGAGCTCACGTTCAGCGAACCGCGGGTTCGGCCGATTGTCAGGAGAGACTCAAGGCGACGAGCTGCGTCGCTTGCTTGCACGCTTGCTCGCAGCCGCGTCACCAGTTGGGCCGATAGCCTCCAAGGCCACCTTAGTAGCCTCCTGGAGTGCAGAGTCTTTGCCGCGAGGCTTAGTGCTCTTGGCTTGCGCTTTTCCGGCTGCAGCCTTCGAGCGTGTTTATACACCGCTCTTCGCCATTCCACGGAGCATGCCAAAGGTCGAAGGGGAGACCGAACAGAAGAGCACACCAGTGCTGCTCGAGGATCTAACTGTAAAGTGAGCCTCCGCCGCGTTCGCGCAGCCAAGTCGATGTATTGCGACTTTGAGAATGAGAGTTTGTGACGTACATTTTCTTTCTCTTTCAGATTGGTCGGTAAAGCGAAACTAAGTGGGGGAGGATGTAACAGGGTACGTACCCCAAGGGTACCCCTGGTTGCATGAAGTGTGACACGTCACACTTCGGGACACCTGGTACATGGCACCAGGGTCGTCAGAGGCCAACCATTGGCTGATGACGTAGCTTTAGTAAAGGTGACTTACAGTCTGTACATTTAACTCAAGCTTAGCCTACCGATAAAAAAATCAGCTTACAACTTACCTAAAGCTGGTCGCTTCCTCCGCCAAAAGGGAGCATTTTCGCCATAAGTTTTACATTTGTTTGCACTCGTTGAAGATATTAATGGCATGATATCTAAAATTGGCAGCTCCTGTTAAACCTATCCCCTGGCGTTATTAGTAGCGTTACTATCATGCCAGAGGAAAAAAAAGGTAACTTGGACTACCAGGCACATTAAAATTGCTTGAATCGGAAACTATGTTTAAGGTGCATCGATACTTTTCTAGCCAGTCCAGGGACCGTTCATGTGAAGGTTTTATATTAGTGAGCTGTGCAACTGATTTTAACTTCTTATTAATAGTCTGATGTTTCTTATAGTGTAGGATTAATTTTAGTCTGTCTCACTTTACAAAAATACGTGGTATGCTTGCGCGCTTAAACAATTCAGTATGGTTCTGTGCCCCACTCCAGTTTACGGTGTTCATTATTATTTAACGTGTAGAATGCACCCCCGTCACTATATTTTGCCTGTTGTCATTGAAAATTGTGGTGTTCATTCCTCATTCGTCTACACATGTATGTCTACAAATAACGTGTTGAATCGTGGCAAATTTCTGCCCCATCACGGTTGTTACTTGGCTAACTTCTTCAGTAGCTACAATGTATTGTTTTGCTCAAAACGGCAAGCTGAACGGAGTACATCTTGGTGCGAAGACGAATTCCACTTTTGTGAGTGTTGCATTTACGAATAATGCTAGGACTCAACTGAAGTTCGCAATCAAGCAAAGCGTTGAAGCAGATTCTCGCACTTAACAGTACAGTGCAGTTAAGTAAATACATGCTGTAAAGACTGTTCTTTTCATTAATAAAGTATACTTAGATGACGGCACGGGTTGAAGTGGATCAGCAACTGCTTTTCGTAGACAGGGCGCATCGCCCTTTGCTTGTGTTCTCAATTACGGTACATGTACATGTACATAGCTCTGAAATGCTGTTTTGTAGGTTTTGAAGCCACAACGTCATGACCAAGTTTTCAGTGTAATAATAGACTCCCTCTGTGCAAATGGTCGACAGGTTGAACTTGTGTCGTATTCAGTGAACACTGTTCACACAGAACGAGACGTGTGCCAATTTGGCACTGCCAAAGCTCAACCATGTCAACTGACGTCTAGGTGTAGAGACTGTCTTCTGTGTCCGGTCTTGCTCCGCTTTTTTAGTATTTTTAAATCCTATCCTAACGTTGCTGTCCATTGGTGACCGGCTCGATTAGTTGCAGTAGTCTCCCCATCTCCATTCTTCTTCAAATCGTGCTGCCATGTCGATCTGCATCAACTAGGCTGCGCCGACTGGTGGAGTTTTCCGGTGCCACAAAGTTCAAAAGGCAGGATACAGCAGCCTGCAGAGCAGGATTATTGGATCATTCTCGATTTTGCGGCATCGGACGCACCCGCACCCGATCGACTTCTTCTTCACGCCCGTCTCGACCAGCGTACTCACTACGACTCGCAATCCACTTCGAAATGATCCGGTCAAGAGTGGCTCTGGTCTTGGGGGCCACTGTTGCAATTGCTGGTACCACTACTACACAAGCCATCGACTGGACCTTTTGGAACGATGACGACGATTCGACCCCTTCGCCCGCGTCGTCCGATACATCTTTAGAGACCCTGTCTCCAGAAACCCTCAAAAATATGATGGGGTCCGACTACTTAGACCGTGTCAAGGCTTTGATAAAGGGATCAAACGCAGGTTCGTTGCCTGATGTAGGGTCCGCGTTAGGCTCAGCCTCACAGCCACCTGCTTCGACAGCGTCGTCCTCTGCCTCCTCGCTCGATACGGATGATGATTCTGCATCTACTGCACTGTCAATGTCGGGGTCCTCTGCGTGGGACGTGGCTTTACCTTCGATGGACGACGTAGCGAGTCCTTCAACTGCAAATACCGAGTTTAAATCGACCTACCGAAACTGGGTGGGGCCTTGGACGCAGTCAGCCGACCCTGCTTGCTACCGTGAGGCTCATTTCATGAAAACGTGTCCAAGTAATTATGATCGCAACGAATTGACGAACACATGTTGGACCGAGTGCCCGATGGACTATCCCATAGAGTGTGGCATGCAGTGCACCCAGCTAAACAACGACTGCGGTCGTGAGAACGCCGCCAAGGTGTCTGCTGTGGCGATGGCTGCTCTGAGTATGGCTTCCTTCGGCGTGTTCGGCCAATTGGCCAAATACGGCAAGAAGGTGAGCTGGGCAGTCACGTGCGCTAATTACCTCTTGGTCTTTGTAAGAGCTGCAATCCGCTTTATTCGAAACCAACAGGTCAACGAGCCCAACACGCCGCTGGAAAAGCTACTTTTGCTGCTTTACCAGGCTGGCTTTGTCGTCGCCGATCTTCCAGCAACTATCTATGCGTGCTCAGGCAAAAAAGTTCCGGCAAACCTGCAGCTGACACGTCAACTGATGCCCACGGCTCAGTTACTTCTATTATTGACAGTCGCGTACGACGACGAAATTATCAGGAGTTGGGAAAGGTTCAAAGCTTTTATGAAGAGAGCCAACTTTACGGAAGCAGCTGATCAACTTACGGAGGGTGAGATCAAGAGTCTGGAGACGGGTATGAAGCAGAACTCCACTTGCGGTGACGACCTCAAAATGCTAACCACCCAAGTCTGGGTGACGGTGAACGAGTACAGACAGGAGAACCCCAAGATTAGCGAGGGCGACCTCCGCCTAAAACTAAGCGAGTCTAGCCTCATTCTGTACGATATCCCAACGGTAACCAACAACTGTATGACCCAAATGGTCTCCGAGTCAAGTGTCGCCACCGCGTACAAGACTCGAGAAACGCTCCGCAAGACCTACACAGTGATGATCAACGATCTCATCAAGTCTGGCAAAAGTGACAACGGTACGCACATGGCTGCGAAATACAACGCCTATACCTGGCTACGTAATGGTCTCTGGCTTGCCTCATATGCTTGGGACCCAACGGACTTGTCGACTCTGTTTGCGGAATTCCTGCAGACTATCTGCGGTCCTACGCAGTTTATGGGTGAAATCGATGACGGCGACGAACTAGCCACCCTGGGAATGGGTGCACTTCATAAAGCTTTTAAGAACAGCACGCTTTCTTGGAGGAAAAAGGGTGACGGCGCCGTCATTATTAACTTGAAGAGCAAAGATACCGAGGACGTGACTGTTAATATCAAGTCTGGCGGCGACAAGATTGGCGAAGTCCTGCTCAAAGCAGGGGGTACCGCCCAGTGGACGTCGAACGTTACTACGCTTGGTGGGAAGACTCTGTACATGGATCGCTGGCGACCAGGATTTCTTGGTTTGCCTGGTACAGGTGGAGGTTCCCTGGTTTTGTGGGTGCCCATTTCACGTCAAGGTGGTCATTTAGAGGTTAACGCTCAGCTGAACGTGAGTTAGAAAATGAAATAAGTAGTGTGGTGCTGGTTGTTGTTATCTGAGTATGCAATATACTACTACAACGTAGTATTATATAAACTTAAACTACGTAGTTTAAGCGAAAAATACTGGTATGAAATGGTTTTTTATGAAAAAATTGGATTTCAAACCAATTTGTCGGTCATACTTTTGGATGATGACAGATTAGTTTCGTCTCGCCTCTCAGATTGCGACTGTGAGACCGCATTCCTCGATAACAACAGTTCCCGAGCAAGAACCACTTGCTGCTGCGTTGGCCCTTACATTGTAAGTATTGGCATCCGACTCACAAGGGGTTTTAGCTAAATTTTTCGCATAGGAATCACGCAATGCAAATAGTACTACCGGATCGGTCACTCAAGTTGTTGTCTTGTGTCTGGCGGTCGGTGTTGTGCCCTTGGCTTCGGCGATGCCGTGCCAGCAAACGTTCATACCCATCAGCTCGTATCGATATTGTATCCAATGGTTTAAAAAATGCAACATCGATAAAAGACCGTTTAATAATATTATTTAACCTATTTAAAATTTTGGTTAACAAAAACAATTCGTATTAAATTGGTATTACTATACATAGGCTCAAAGCAGGACCTCGCTATCCGACTTGTAGTGTTAAGAAAGGGTAAATGTGATAATTCTAATGAATTTCAATTCATTTTTCGGAGAAATGTTTCATGTTACCAACAGTACTTTTGCATTCATACTAATTTAAGTAATACTGTACAGTACTTGTACAAGCACCAAACTGGCTTTCTTAAATGTAGCCAGTGGCAAAATGGCTGTTGTTGAACCGAGCTTTAAAAATGATCCGTGAAGATTGTATTTAACGTAGAGCGAATTCAGCATCTGAGCCGGGTAATTTAAATCCGCCTCTCAAAACTCACCGGCGTACCGACTACTCTTGGTCTTGATTTCCCAAATGGAGTAGAGATAAAATTTGGTTCTTAATGTTCCTTCGATCGTGGTTGGGATTTGGAAAGCTAAATTAATACTACAGCATAAACAAACGTTAAGATATAGTCGTTAACAATGGAAATGAATCATACTAGTACTGGTCAATGGAATAATGGTTGATTAACTGATTTTTAGCTTCGTAGTCGTATATAAGTATGTAGGTGCTATGCACGTTTCGGGCTGTTTGGGAAAGAGTAGTCGACAGAATTGTGCCTTAATGATAAGTGTGGTGAAGTTAAAGCGAAGCTCTTTAGCAATGTTAGCCAGTCAGCTTGATAAGCCTTCTCCGCGTGTAAAACTCGGCTAGCCATGGAGAATACACTCGACCTGATTGTACCATCGATTTGGCACACTGGACAATGATAACTCCAGTTTATGATAATTTGGAAGCCACTTCACCGTTCATCCAAATTATTCCTTGTTACCGGTATTTTTATAATAAGAGCAGCTGCAATCCTAATATTTTGTATTTCGATTTGTACACCACAATTAGTCGGTGTAACGGGGTACGTAGCACTAAGTGTACCCTGGTTACATGAAGTGTGACACTTCACACTTCAGGAGTATGACATGTCATACTCCGGGATATTTGGTACAAGGTACCAAGGTCATTCAAAACCAACCATTGGTTAAATGACATTGCATTACTATAGGTAACTGATAGTTTGTATTAACCTCAAACTTAACCTACCTATAAATATACTCAGTTTACAATCTACCTTATTTAGGTCACTTCGCTCTCTTTAATTAAAGAGGGGACCTGTGAACTGCCGTTCACTGAGAGTTTGTATACTCTCGGAAGATAACTTCCTCTAGCGCAAGGTGCTGTGTGACCCCGTCACACTTGGTAGCACTTGTAGTCAATCCACGCCATCGCGGGTAGACTACCTGAACCTCCGAAGTTCGTTGCCATGGATAGGAACGACTTCTCCCATATGAACGACTCTCAGTTCGAGTCGGTTCGGAAGATGGCAGGCATCTTCGGGATGGAGGCCCTGCAGAGCCTGGTGGTATCAACACCGGCTGAGCAGCTTGAGCGCGTCAATGCATTCGACGCGTACGAGCAGGGCCTCATCGCGCATGTGCGGGAGAACCTGCAGGCTCCGGCGGCGGGAGCAAACCCGCCTCACCCGAAGCCAATACGGCTGAAGGTAAAGCCGTATGAATGGAAGGAAGGCGAGAACCTTCACTTCTGGGTCCGAGAAGTAGAGCTTGCGATGGACGCGGCTCTGATCTCGACCGAGCAACTGCGTGTTGCTTTTGCACTCTCCAACCTTAGCGGTCGTGCTAAGAGTTGGGTGTACACTCGGGAAGCGACATCCCCTGGATGTTTCACATCCTGGGCTCAGCTGTGCGAACAGCTCCGAGCCGCGTTCCTCCCGGCGAACTACGAGTACCGCCAGCGTTCGCGCTTCCTCGCGTGTAAACAAGGAAGACGCGAACTGCACGAGTATGTGCAAGAGATACGGGAGCTCACGGCGTCCCTAGTGGGAAACCCACTCAATGAACACATCAAGATGACTGTGTTCATGGACGGCCTTCGAGTGGGCCCCGCACGCACTCAGCTGTTCCGGGTGCAGGCAAACACCCTTGAAGAGGCGATTCAAGTGGCTCTTCAAGAAGAATACAGCCATCGCCAGGCGCGTACGCCGGCCTCAGCGTGGCCTGGGAGTTCCTTGTCGGCTCCCGGTCGAACAAGCCCCAACGGACCAGTTCCCATGGAACTCGGGTCCGCCGAACAGCGTGACATCCGCTGCTTCGGCTGTGGGAAGATGGGCCACTTCAAGCGCGACTGTCCCGCGGAAAGACTCCGCAGACGGTCCTTCCCCAAGCCCGTCCTCAAGGGTCGCTGGCAGAAGCCAGGATCCCGGGGACAGGGGAACGCAGGGAACCAGTAGGGGCGGGGCGCCCTACTGGGGAAGAACTAAGTCTTCGTGATGGGTGCGCGGGTGGCGCGTACCACGGGGACTTAGCCCCTGAGAGTCTTCGCACTCTCGAATCGGCGAAGAGCAGCGGCGGGTTGCTCGTAGTACACGGATGTGTACGGGGGTACGATCACCCCTTTAGAATCTTGATTGACTCTGGGGCGTCGAAGAATTTCGCACGCCGCCAGACGGTTGCTCGTAACAGCAACAAGTTGTCCGAAGCTTTGCGAGAAAGCAAGGGCAACGGGACGGTGTCAGTGCGACTGGCCGACGGGAAGGTCGTCACTGTCCCCAACGTCCAAGTGGATCTGGCTGTCAAGTTTGAAGACTTTGACAGCCTCGAACAGTTCACTGTTCTCGATATGGATCCATATGATATGATCCTGGGCATGCCCTGGCTTGAGAAGCACGAGCCCTGGATCGACTGGCGAGGCAAGGCAATCGGTGCCAGCCGCCCTGCGCAGTCCGACAGAGCATTGGTGAGTCATGTTCCCACCTCTGTCAGGACCCGGGGCGCCCGCGAGGGCTGCCAGGGTACCAAAGCATCCGGCAGATGCTTGGGAGTCGTCGACGTATATGACGACTCCGAGGATGTTTTGATGGTGGCCGCGCCCAGAAGAGGCGCCGGCCAAGTGGGTAACTTAGGTCCACAGGCGGGTAACTTAGTTCCGCAGACAGCTGCAGCTGTCATGAACACTGAGAACAGCGTGTTCAGAGTGGGTAACAGAGTTCCACTCACGGTCGCCCAGACCTTAACTGAAGAGGAAGGCGTTGAACACGCTTCCTGTGTGGGTAACACAGTGCCACACGCGGTCGCCCAGACCTTAACTGAAGGGGAAGGCGTTGAACACGCTTCCTGTGTGGGTACAACAGTACCACACGAGGCCACGAGTGCCTCGGATGTCGTAGCGACGACATCCCTAGACGTGGGCAGCAAAGCTCCCCGTCACAGAAGCCGTCGGCAAAGACGCCGCCGCCGCCTCAAGTCGGATCCGAACTTCGTTCCGATCGACGTCGCTTCAAGCGACTCGGAGTCCAGGGCCCGGGCTCCTCCGACAAGGCCGGTGGAAGAGTGTTATCACATCTTCGATAGCGAGACGGGTTTACCCGTCAAGGCATCTGGTGTCCACTTGGAACCGTTGCCAGAGGTTGCAGAGATACTGAACCTCGAGGAAATGACGGCTGAGTCTTTCCTGGCCAACCTCAAGGCTGGAGAGATCGCTGAGATGGTACTCATGAGACCTGAGACCACTCAGGAGGAGCTGAACTCCTCCTCTGTCTTGGACGAGAACGTCCTGGAAGACATGAACAAGCAGCGTCAGGCGCGCTTGGGTTCTGAGATTCTCAAGAACCCCAAGGATCCGGTGTATCCTTTGGTGACGGAGTATGCGGACGTGGTGAATAAACACCCCCCGACCCAACTCCCACCGGATCGAGGCGTACGGCACGAGATTGATCTCGTGCCCGGCACAAAGTATTGTGTCACGAGGCAATGGCCTCTCCCGCGCGAACAGTGCGAGGTCATTGATGCCTTCTTCGCCGCGAAAGCGAAGGCAGGCATGGTGCGGGAGTCGAAATCCCCGCACTCGACGCCGACTTTCTGCGTTCGTAAGCCGAACGGAAAGTGGCGTCTGGTTCACGCTTATAACAAGCTGAACAACGCAACGGTGCCGGCCCAAACACCGATCCCACGAAAGGATGTGTTGTTGAACAACATGGCCGGGAGCGTACTGTACAGTGCGCTGGATTTGGTAGACGGATACTACCAAATCCTGATGCGAGAGAGTGACATCCCGCTCACCGCGGTAAGCACTCCAAGCGGCATGCTTTGGGAGTGGCTCGTCATGCCGCAGGGCTTGTCTAACGCCCCGGCGACGTTCAATCGCCTGGTGACGCAATTGTTCCGCCCTTTGCGTACCTTCGTACAGACGTACTTCGACGACATTTTCGTCCATAGCCGTGCCGAGGGAGGCAAGACGGCCATGGAGGTGCATCTAGGACACCTCCGTCGAGTGTTGGACGTGATGCGAGCGAACAAGCTCTACGCCAACATCGACAAGTGCGTTTTCGCGTCACCAGAGATCAAAGTTCTCGGTTGCTTCGTAA